AATGTCTACAGATCGGCCTTCACATCACATGTTACATTTCCAGAGCCCCAGGACATACTATTTAAAGGCAAAGGAAACCAGCAGTCATAGGACAAAGCTGTAGGTACTCATCTTTGTGTTAAATATACTCCCTGGAATTCTTAGCAAGTCACAGACACTCATTAGTAATCAGTCTCCCATCCATCCATGCAACCAATGGCACAATTTGTGACAGATTTATGTACCGGTCAGTGGTGTGTATGAATCTGTTGCAGAATCGCCTCACACAGAATATTGTCCCCGGCACAATGTTTCCATGTGCCACACAGTTTACTCCAACAGAAAAGAGATCTTATATAGTGTTGGGCTCAATGTTCGAGCCGACTGTGAGTTCCACTCGAACATTGGCAGTTCGTGTGAACTGTCATGGTGTTCCCGTACACAGGGCGCTGCGCCTTGTGAGCCCTGATTGGCTAAAGCCTTGCACCTGACCATAGGTCAGGTGCAAGACTTTGCCCAATTAGGGCACAGAGAACTGTGCCCAATCATGGCTCACCTGTTACAACTGTAAACAGTTGGGCGGAGCTAGCTGTCACTGCTAGCTCCGCCCAAATGTTTATATGTTACCGGCATTTGTCAAAATCCCATTATGCGGCGGGTGTTCGTTGCAGCGGACGGGACGGCGGTCGTCGTTTTATTATTATTATTTTTATTTTATTTTTTATTTCGCCGAGTCGTCGTCGTGGACAATGCTGGACTTTTTATTTACAATTGTATTTAACCCTTTAGTGAATGGGTATGGGTACAAGTACCCCTTACTCATTCAGAAGGGGGGGGCGTACCCTGATGTGAATAGGTTCCCTGCCCGCACCCCCACAACCAACACCCCAGGGCTTGTGGGGAAGAAGCCCCTGTCCCCATCGGCATGAGGGCATGTGGCCTGGTATGGGAAGGGGGGGCACACTCGTCCCCCCCTTTCCGGCCCTGCCAGGCCTATGCTCGGATCAAGGGTCTGGTATGGAATTTTAGGGTGGACCCCACATTTTTCTCCCCCATTTTTGGGGGTGGGGTTTCTCCTTAAAATTCCTACCAGACCTTAAGGGTCTGGTAGGGACTTTAAGGGGGAACCCCCACACACTTTCTTTTTTGTTTTTTTACACAGGGTCCCTCCTAAATATTCCTACCAGACCTTAAGGGTCTGGTATGACTTTTGGGGGGAACCCCACGCTTTTTTTAAATGGGGTCCCTCCTAGCATTCCTACAAGACCTAAAGGGTCTGGTATTGTTTGCTGCAGCAGGTTCTATACATCGTACAGATCCGTCACTTTACAGGCAGTTTAAGGGGACCCCCCAGGCACGATATTTAAAGGAATTTTTCATTTTTATTCTTACCATTTAAGTGATGTTAAAAACACTGCTCCTTAAAAAATGGTATTTTTTAAAAGTGTTTTTTTCATTGACTCCTGTCCCCCAGGGCAGTACCCTTTTATGGCCAATGACTTGCACATCAGCCCTCTTAAAGGGGAGAATTGTTTTTGAAAGTTCTACCCCCATAGACTTGCATTGAGTTCGAGTTCAAACTTTTTTGGTGTTCTAAAGTTCGAATTCGAACCCAACTTGGACCTGTTCGGCTTATAACTAGTCTTATATACTCCACTTTTCTTATGACTGATATGGCAATATTACTTACTGATTCTGTTGCAGCAATAGCACCACAGTGTGAAAACACACAAATGCACAAATAAAAATATAGTCCCACCACTTACATTTAGTGACTGATTACAGGGTTTTAAGTGGTTGGATAGACATTTGTTGAACTATGTCAGCAGATTTATTTTAATTTTTTTCATGGCAGCGTTTTTAACTCAGCCTTGGATATTTCAGAGGAAAGGCTGCACGCTGTAAACCCATGACCATCATGAGAACGAAGATCAGCCGGACTGAAAATATGTGGTTTGTTGAAGGCTGTGCCTGTGGAATTCTACCATATGATACTGTGTGTAAAGGAATGCAAGCTCCTAAAGGATCAGTCCACTGAAAACTTTCAAGCTACATTTTTCATGTAGTGCACTTACATTGCAGTATGTTTTAGTTGCATTAACATAGAGTACATAAGTACCACAGTGGGTCCTGACCATCTAGCAATCCACTCAGAGACAAGCAATTATCTCCCCATCCAATATTCTCATGAGGATATCTCCCATACTATGGCTATTTATGAAAACCCTTTATAAGTGAAACATAGAGCCTGCAATTGCTAAGCTCTGCTGGTAATGCTAGTTGCTGGTCTGTCAAGCTGACCCTTTTGCTTCAATACTTTACATTCACAGACCCACGGCCCTTTGCATATAGGGACATCAGACATTTCTCTGATTTTCCTGGCCTGCACATGTGTTTCAGGTCAGTGACAGTACTAGATATCTTCAGTCTCTCAGGTTGAATGAGAGCCAGTGTCTCTCAAGCCAGAAGACTAAGGACATATTGTGAGTGCAGGGCATCATGTACCCACAGACTGAGGGGCCATTTGACTCAGTTTAATGAAGCAGAGTGTGCTAGTCCTCTCATCACGGCAGTGGTGCTGTCTACCTCACTAAGAACTAGCCAGCCTGGAAAAGAGGCAGAGGGTGCTTAGGTGTAGTCGGCCTGAAGACATCTGAAAAAGGTAAGTATAACATTAAAAACACAAATTAATACAAATATAGGTGGCAGTATTATTTTTTTGGGCGGGGGGGG